CTGTTCTGTGTTTGCTAGTCACTTAAAAAAGATTTGGTCTGTAGATCTATATCCACCAGGTAAACTCCTTACATAGCAAACACACTGTCTTTGTTTGGTACTTTGACAATGATACTTACAAAGAATTTTTGCTCAGTTCAGCGGTTGGAATAAAATGATAGTATCTGAAAACTTTGCTTTCTGAACAGAATTCTAATGACTTAAATGTTCTTTCCAAATTTGGTGATGTGTTTTAGGAAAAACATGCCTGCAAATTTGGAGGACATGGTCCCTAAAATTAAGCCTTAGGTCTTACCTACCTGCAGGTAAAGAATGACCAAATCAAGTATTCTGGGGCTTTTTTGAACTTCTTCTTTTGTTGTAGAGGGAAAGTTTATATTGACTGTTTAGCTATAAATGTAAGGTTTATTCATCGTAAGTCGTAATTTAGCCATGCAGAGCAACAAATCATCCAATGACTCCATAAGAGCATCTTGCATTTCTTAGAATCCTGTAGTTAAGTTATTTGTAATTAGGTAAAAATGAAAGTTGACGTTTCTCCTTGAGAATAATTAATGCTAACCACATGAAGAACGGAAGATTTATGATTCACATGAGCCTAAATAAAATTTAAGAGAATTGAACTCTACTTCTTCTTGGGAACTATCATCTTTTCTCCCTGTCAGTAGAGATGTAACAAAATACCTGACGTATCATAACACAGGGATTTCAATTGTGCACTCATATGAGATTCCAGTGTGACAAGCTGCCACACAGAGTAGATATTTAGTGCAATCCGTCCTCTATTAAAATCCTGTCAGTTCCACCTTACTCTTCTCCCCCTCCCCGTGTCCTCAAGTCCATTCTCAGATAGCTAGTGGGAAGCAGCCGCATAGCACAGGGAGATCAGATTGGTGCTTTGTAACCACCTAGAAGGGTGAGCTAGGGAGGGTGGGAGGGAGAAGCAAGAGGGAGGGGATATGGGGATATATGTATGCATATAGCTGATTCACTTTGTTATAAAGCAGAAACTAACACACCATTGTAAAGCAATTATACTCCAATAAAGATGTTTAAAAAAAAAAATCCTGTCAGTGTCGTGGTGAGATTTCAGAGTTTAGGACAGAACTCTGCACTGGGAAACAGCAACACGTACCAATTGCATTGGCAACATCAGCAAAGAGTGAATTCCTGATTTAGTCTCACAGTGCTCTCTTTCAGTGGAAAAAAAATAAAGTGCAAATAGAAACGCTCTTGCTGTCCTCAGTGGGGTTTGACCTGATAAAGTTCCAGAGTCAGACAACTGACAGAGAATGGTTTCCTTGCAGAAACACCAGTACGAGAGATATGACCAAGGCAGGGAGAATTTTATCCCCTCTTCCTTAAAAGTGAAAAGCCTCTCAGAGTTTTCTTCTAAGTTTACAAAAAAGTGTATTGCACACAACTCAGAAATTTCAATCTGCAAAGAAGCAAACCTAAACAACCAACTTCAGCTTTATGCTTATGCTTTCTGTTATTCTCTTGTCCTTTTACTACTCCCCTCCCTTCTTTCCATCAATTCATGTCTCTCTTATAGATCGTTACCCCTCCCTAGTAGGGAAAGATTAGAGGCACTGCGCTCTACTTTAAGATTTGAATGAAGCACTGTTTTCTCTTCAGATACAAGCCTGGTTGAGACCTTGGGGCCCTCGAGTAGAGCCTAAAAAGAACCTGAAGGGCTCTTGCTGCAGTGTGGGAGGCCGTGTGATTCACAGTGATGGGGGAAGCATGCCTTTGCACCCTATACACAGAGAGCTTATCTGTGCGATTTTCTCAAAATAGTGGAAGAGAAAACGTGAGAAAGGAGAAGAGTTGTAAGCAAATCATTATTATGGGCAATATATTGGAGATGTGTAGCTATGGACACCTTGAATTTATTTGTAAAGTAGGTTCCAGTTACTGACATACAAGAGGTACCCAATGGGCCTTTATTTTTTATTTTCATTATTTTTATTATAGGTGTTGAAAGATTTAGGAAGTAAATGAGATAAACACCAATCTAAGCAATTTATCTTATTTATAGCCATAGAGGCTATCTCCACCAAACTCATTAGGAAAGTATGCTAAATAAGCAGTATGAATGTGGTAGAAATGGGTGATTATTGCTTTTTCTCAACTTCTTCCTATACCAACAGTCATTTCATATAATTGGGCTAATCTAAAGCACAATGTGCAGTCATCTACTCATATAACTGAATAATGATAACAGTAATTTACTGAGTGTTTGCTATTTGTCTGGCATTATTTTAAGAGCTTTAAAGCCTTGCTTCATTTCATGAACCGAAACCATAATAATTTAGTCATGATTATATCCATATTACAGATGAGAAAACTGTGGCTCAGAAAGTTTAATTGCCCAAAGTCCTATAACAGAAAGGTTTTCCTCTCTCAAAGAGACTAACCAAGAATCCATGCTATTGGGACTTCCCCGGTGGTGCAGTGGTTAAGAATCCACCTGCCAATGCAGGGGACACAGGTTTGATCCCTAGTCTGGGAAGATCCCACATGCTGCAGAGCAACTAGGCCCATGCACCGCAACTGAGCCCACGTGCTACAACTACTGAAGCCCGTGCTCAGCAACAAAAGAAGCCACTGCAATGAAAAGCCCGTGCACTGCAACGAAGAGTAGCCCCCACTCGCTGCAACTAGAGAAAGCCCACGCGCAGCAACGAAGACCCAACGCAGCCAAAAAAAAAGAGTCCATGCTATTAATCACCACGTCATTCATTCCTTCCCTTCAGATCCAGGTATTTTATTTCTCCACCCTGGACTGCCTAATTATTTTTATGTTTTAGTATCACAGAGTGAATAATTTAACCAACCCCACCTTGATGATGAAACTAAGACCAGTTGGGTAAAGGTTCTTTATACAATAAAGACAACCAACAAAACTGTTACAGGGAAACGACTGACGCGGCTGAAACGACTGAAATGACTGATGGAAAATTGTGTTTCCATGATGCGGTTTAGCCAATTTTTCCATGTTAAAGATAACAAGGTGGTGGGCGCCCCAGCCACTCCTTTCCCCAGGAATCTGTCCCAGCCACAAGCATTACATCTTAAGGGGGGTGACCTAAGCTCAAATATCATGCAGAGTCTAGTCAGGGGAAGTGAAAAGATATTAGGGAGCAGAAGCCATCGCAAGAAAGATCCTGGTGGGGGACAAATGAAAACACACACACACACACACACACACACACACACACAACTATTGCTAGGGGAAGATATACAAGAAATAATACATCCAAAAAATGGGTGAAGCTGGTCTGGGGAGAAGGAGAAGCTAATAAAACATTTAGCTAAGGCCCTGAGTGACAGTCGGAAAAAAACACATACAAATATCTTCCCATCTCCTCACAGCTCCAGAAGTACTATGGAATCTTACATACTTTGGTATCTGGAAAAATATTCAGATTTTGCCAGATGTGCATTCCTTTAGGCCACGATGAGATGATGCTTGACCTCAGTGTAAGGGCTAAGCTAGCCTCAATGCTCTTTAAACACACACAGTATTTTTTTAGAAGGTAGTTGTTTCCATCTATTGAATTCTACTTCACACCTGGGACGGAAAAGAACGGCCTGGATTCGTTGCGTGTTGGTCTGATTTATACAACACAGATCAGATGAACTCAGGAAGCCCCCAAGGTATGTGAATAAGAGTAAATATGGGGATCTGCAGAATAGGGTCTAAAGTTCTGCTCTAGTAAGCTACATATTTTTATTCTTCAAATAAAAAGAAAACTATCAAAACACTAGGAGCAACACGGAGTGTTCCTTATTTTTTAAGAAAATGGACAAAGCTCAAATATGAAAGCCAGGTGCTGTGATCCTTTGAGTCCAGGAAGTAGATGTCTGTGTATTTAACTCCCTGGTTTTTAATATGTGCTACCTTATTTACATTTAGCTTTGAAAAGGGTTAAAATGTAGCATTGCTTCTTCTTTGAACAACTAATACATTCAATAATAAGGATTAATGATAATAATAAGGTATAGTATGTCATACTTCAAACACTGTTTTCACATATTCTCTCTGTTTTGATCCTCTCCAAAGCCATGTTAAGTATAGTGACAGAAAAGGAAACAAAGTTACAGATTTGAACATACCCAGGAGAGTACAGCAGAGACCTTGTCACACAACTTTCCGCTGGGGATCTTTCCCCTATCTCACACTCCCATGAGGATATTGCTCTTGAAATCTCCCTGGCTAGTACTTCTATAGAGCTCAAAAACATGGAAGACCTCGACAAAGATACATGGAATCAATAGCCTTCAGCCTGGATTCTAATGGAATAAGTAATATTATTTCCCTTGGGACTAATGTAATATTGTACCACAAAATGGGAAAGCTAGCTAGTAGAAAATAGAGTTTGAATATTTTGGGAAGAAATTTTCCACTAAAAGAAGAAGAGAATGGCTCTAGTTAGTTAACATAAAAGTCATCTACCAACCTTGCTATCTATTATCTATCTGCATCTATTAGTAGACAAATACCTTCCTATTTCAAATATATTGCTTTGAGTCAACACTTAGCCATGATACACAAAATCGTTCCCAAAGCACACCCAACTGCATCCGAAGAAAACAAAGCATAACAGGAGGAGAAGGACAACAGAAAGGCTTTCCTCCTATAATGGATTTAACTGTCCAGAGTTCACAATTCTGCATGAAGTAGACATTCCCCCTTTCATAACAAATGGTAGACTGCAGCATGAGAGTTTGATTGCTATTTCCTCCAATCAAGTTTGTTCTCTTCCTCCCTCTCTCTCTCTCTTCCTCTCTCAACTGTTTCTCTCCATCACTATCACTCTACCTACTGTATACACTTTTATAGAATTTCAGGAACAGCTTTGTATCTGGTAAATAGGGCTGCCAGAAAGAGGCATGGAATAGAACAAAAGCTTTACCCCAAAGCTTCTATGCATTACAAAAGCTTGCACTCGGATAATAGAAACATCGAGCCTCAGGTGACTGAGAACACTTACTGTTGGTTGCATAACGTATGGCGGATGAGGCATCCATGAAGTACTCTGGACCTATGCATCAAACAGCATTTATTAGAAGAAAGCAATCACAGAGAGAACTCGGTTCTTGCGTTCAGTGGAGTCACACTAGGTCATAAGAAAGTGGAGTCCACCTGACTTACAGCGAATCAGTGCTCAAAACTAAGGGTACAAAGGAAATTCTTGGACCTGATTCATTTGGTCCCTGAAACATGGTACAATGTAAAGCAAATTCCTACCTCCCTGGAGCTGGCTGTAGTGCCCACATGGGCCAGGCTGGGCCATGGAGCACATTTGGAGGCTTCAGGAATCTCCTGTTTATAGGTCAACTTCCGGGAAGACCCGGGCGAATAAGGAAGGAGGCATTACTTAGCATGACTGCTAAGACTTCCTCTTTTTCTGTCATTGGTTCTAACTTCATACTCTCAAGTGATCCCATCTTGGAAATAAATCCAAGTGGCAAAAGTTGGGGAAGAATCAGAGAGATCAACCAGAAATTTTGGGGTATGTTTTGGGTTAAACCCTAGTTAAGCAAGTCTGTGATTTTTCTCGCTCATGGTAATTGGTATGGCAAATAAAAATGAGTATATGAGCCAGCCAAGTGTTCTGAATGTTCGCCATCAGCCAAATGAGAAAGTCAGCTTCTAAGAGCTGATTGTGACATAGAGAGCCCCGAAGATTTTGTTTTCAATATACTCACATCAATGAAATTGACAATGAACTTTAGATTAAAAAAAAAAAAAAAAGAAGTGGTGAAAAGCAAGAATTAACAACATAGGAAATTGCTCTAATTCCTTTTTTGAGAAAAGAGAGCCAGAGTTAAATTCCACTTATGAACCCTCCCAAAAGAAATGACTGTTCTGTGGAGATTTTATTCATGTCACCAAAGTGCTCTACAGTGGAGCTCAATGGGTGGTCTTGGCTGAAACAGAGGCCAAGATTAGAAAAAAATGGGTAAAAAACCAAAAAACACACATTACAACCAGGCAGGCCTGTAGGAAGAACAAAAACTGAACAGCATCTGCACTTAGCCTCATGGGTCCCAAGGAAAGGCAATTAAGAAATCAGCCATTCTGAGACCCTCTAATGCAATTCACACAAAAGTCTATTCCGCTCACCTGACAGGTATCAAGAATCTAAGTGCAGACACAGAATGAGAATGATCTGCTTTGGGGGGAATCAGTTAAGGAAAAAAGTGCATAGTCTCAAGCATGATGCTCTGACAGCTGGGACCTCCTGATATGACGTATGTAGTGGATGAATAATGTGAAACTTCACTGAATTCGTAGCAGTCAGCAACATTACAGTTTTCCCTGTTGTAAACCCCCCACCCACCCACCATCTGCACAATATAGGGAAACACACGCAGGCACACAGTCACACTCTTGCTCTTTCTTTCTCTCTCCAAAGCTTTAAACAGTGACACTCAACACTCTTGGTAGCATTCATAGGCATTTTTTTTCTATTTTGAATTAGAAGAATTGTCTGAAGAACTACATGAGGTAAAGAGAAGCAGGGAGAAATATCATATCTTTGATGACTCAAAGGAATAAGATAAGGAGCACTGTTTGAGGGAGAAGGATGGCTATTTCAATCCACCTGTGGACTTAGCATTACTAACTGGCTACAACATCTGGTTTAGGACACACACTGAGTCTCAGATTTTCTTGTGTTTCAACATGTGGAACCCCCGAGGTCTCTTTTGGCCTCTTTGGAACTGAGAATGAAGTAAGAGGAGGAAGTAGGAATTACTTTTACCCCTTTGATAATCTTCCCTATTTCTTGGAGCAAATGATTTTGCATCTATCCATGTAGCTTTCCATGGATGCACAGAACGATTGTGACAAAATGAGATGACAATGATACAATATCCTGGAGGGTGTGCAGGGAGTTGCCAGAAATGTGTTCTCATAAAAGATACCCTAGGGAACAACAACCAAAATAACAGAAAACACACAAAATAACCTCTCAGTGGTAAGAAAGCTGCACTAATGTTGGCTGGAAAGTAGCAAAATCATGAAAACTCAGCAGGAAGAATGGAAAGCTCGGTGGATTTTTATCATTCAGTGAAACAGATGCAAACAAGCCCTTGAAAGTGTAGGCTCAATGGATAGTTTGAGTATTATGACATTAAGATATGACTAAAGGGAAGACAACTTAAAACAAAAATCCTACTGTTTCCCTTTTGTCTTGATCTAGTCTGTTCCTGGCAAGAAAGGTTTCCCGGGAGGTGCAGGTAAACCGGACATACCTGGTATGTGGAGACAGGGGAAGCAGCAATGAATGGCGTGATGGGTGTCTGTGGAATCATGCGGTTGGTTGCAATACTGTACGGTGAAGAATAAAATCTGCAAACAGAAAAACAAAAAGAAGATTCATAGATTCATGAAGCTGATGCACGCCTGGCTGCTAACCAAACGCTACCACACACGTCTGGAGAAGACAGAGTTCCACCCTCATGTTGCCCATCAGCTGTTAACAGGATCATGCAGGAGACTGATGGTCTTTGATTCCACAAGAAATAAGTTTTTCTGAATAAAATGACAATTTTGAGTCCTCTTATAAAACTGACTGCACAAAAATCTCTTAGGCCAGGTGAGTGTAATAGTATGCTTAACCAATAGCAGAGAAAAGCCATGGGCATTGTTTCTAAAGCTCCTTGAAAGAAAGGCAAAACCATAGCACCAAGCTTTATAAAGGTGGCTGGTGTTACACAGACAGAAATTGCATCTATCCCTTCATTCAAGAAAGAGGATCAGGGCTTCCCTGGTGGCGCAGGGGTTGAGAGTCCGCCTGCTGATACAGGGGACACGGGTTCGTGCCCCGGTCCGGGAAGATCCCACATGCCGCAGAGCGGCTGGGCCCGTGAGCCACGGCCGCTGAGCCTGCGCATCTGGAGCCTGTGCTCCGCAACGGGAGAGGCCACAACAGTGAGAGGCCCGCGTACCGCAAAAAAAAGAAAAAAAAAAAAAAGAAGTAATACTTTGAGGAGAAACTGAAGCACAGTTTCCTATGAAATAGTATAGCTAAAGAAAAAAAAAAAAGAAATAGGATCAGCTTATAGAGAATTCTGGATAATTTGTGCTAGGCATGAATCCATGCCCTCAGGTAGAAACTAAGCTAAGTACTTTCTTTCTCCATGAAAAGAGAAGGACAATTTGTGGACAATTTAGGTCTAGGTGAGGAAAGGAGCCTTTTCTGGATTCAGTCAGGGCACTGATGGAGATTATGGACCTATGTGATATACCTCTGTACACGCTGTAAAAAGCACTGAGTTTTCTAGTCCTCCAGGGTCCTTCATTGAACAATTATAGAATAATACTGGGCAAGATCAGAGCTTCACAAATCAGAGGTGGGATAATCCTTCTGGAGATCTATTGAAGGACAGCTTTAATAGGGATCTATTAAAGGGTATCAAAAACACTTACAGGCCATCTCTGCTCAGATTTATACCCTGGAGTCCACAAGTTACCTAATGCTCAAATTCCTCAGCAGAATTTTAAATCATGTTTTTTTCCTTATGTCTCACTGGTAAGGGAAAGGCTAGAGTGACCAGCCACATATCGTGCAGACAAAACCAGGTGGGCTGTGATGGAGTATTTCACTGGATAGAATGCGAAAATGCCTCTCAGGGATCATGGAATCATTACTTCACTTTGCCATACTCTTATCAGGATAGATTGGGAAAATGCGTCTCAGGGATCATGGAATCATTACTTCACTTTGCCATACTCTTAGCAAAAGACAATTACTACTTTTAGTTTCTTTCTTTCTTTCTTTCTTTCTTCTCTTTCTTTCTTCCTTTCTTTCTTTCTTCCTTTCTTCCTTTCTTTCTTTCTTTCTTTTTTTTAAATAGTATGACTGAGGTTGGAGTTTTGGAGACAAAAACTTCATCATCTCTCAGGGGTCACTGATATTTTGAATAGAGGATCTCATGGGTCACCTTTCTAAAGAAGCATTCCATGAGAACCCCACTGAGTGTAGGGGGGCTGGATTTCAAGGTTGCCAGGTTTCAAAGAGTAAATTCTTTAAGCTTAGATCCTATACAAGTCTTCAAGCAAGGATTGGGGAACTAGAGTCTTAAATTGATCTAGCTCTCAACAAGGATTATAAGGTCACAGTCTTTTGGTTAAAAAAGATGTAGCTGAAAAAATTACACCATTACACATTGGATCCTCCTTACTATCCATACCTATACCTACAATACCTCTAAAATTTTAGAAAAAAAGAATATTGACTATATACTCATTAAAATGGCCAAATTTAAAAAAAAGACAATCAGAGCTGTCAAGGATTCAGAGAAAGTGGAACTCTTTCATTGTTGGTGGAGATACAGGATGATATAGCCCTTTTAGAAAACAGTTTGGCAGTTTCTTATAAAGTTAAACATATACATAGCATATAACCCAATTATCCCACTGGTACATAGTAACTGAAGATAAATGAAAACTTGAGTTCACACAAAAACCTTAATGCAAATATTTATAGCAGCTTTATTTAATACTTGCCAAAAACTGGAAACAAGCCAAATATCCTTCAATTGAATTAATAAACTGTGGTCCATCCATACATTGGGATGCTACTAAACAATTAAAAGGAAAGAACTACTGATATATTTAACATGGTGAATCTTAAGTAAATTATGCTAAATGAAAGAAGTCGAACTCAAAAGTCTATATTTTATATCCATTTATTTAATACTATGGAAAATGCAAAACTTTAAAGACCGAAAATAAATCATGGGTGCCAAAGGCTGGGATTGGGGGAAGAGTCTGAGTGCACAGACACCTGAGGGAATTTTGGAAAGTGATGTAACTGTTCTATACCTTCATTGCTTGGTGATTCCACAACTGTGTGCTTGTCAGACCTCACAGAATTGTACACTCTTAAGAGTGAATACATACACAATATAAATTACAGTTAATAAATCTGACTTTAAAGTCAATTACTATGTAAGAAAACATCCATCCTTCCACTTTAAAAAATGTGTTGAACATTTACTATGTATACCAAAGATGGGCAGGACATTCCTTTGAGTTTTTCTATTTAAGCATTTAAATTGAAACTTATCTATTCATTAACCAGCCTAAAGCTGGTCAATGGCTTTCCGTTGCAATGAGAACAAAATTTGGATTCCTCATATTGACGAGCACAATCAGGCTATTGCCCACCTCTCTCCCCAGAGCCAACTAGGATCCAACCACACTGACCTTCATCTGTCACATGAGCCTGTCATTCTCACTCTCATCTTGGGCCACTATGCTTACAATTCTCTCTACCTGGAATGGTTATTTCCCCAAATCACCCTAGAACTATCTCTTTCTCATTATTGATCTCACTCAACTTTCCCATCTTTTCAGAGGTCTCTAGTTAAAGTAGCAACCACCATCTCTGCCCCAATTGTTCTCTATTCCTTTCCTCTATTTTTTTTTCATTGTTCTTATCACTATCTGAACTAGTAATTTTTAAAAATGTCTTTATATATGCTATGGACCGAATGTTTGTGTCCCTTTAAAATTCATATATTGAAGTCCTAATTTCCAAAGTGGCTGTATGTGGAGATGGAGCATTTAAGGAAGAAACTAAGGTTAAATGAGCTCATGAGGGTGGGGCCCTAACCTCAAATGGTTAGTGCCCTTATAAGAAGAGGCATTAGAGTGCTTGCTCTCTCTCTATCCACATGCTCACATGGAGGAAAGGCTATGTGAGGACATAATGAGAAAGCAGCCTTGTAAAAGCCAGAAACTAAATCCCAAACTAAATCAAACTGATCTTGGACTTCCAGCCTCCAGAACTGTGAGAAAATATATTTCTGTTGTTTAAAGCCACACAATCAATGGCATTTTGTTACAGCAGTCAAGTTGACTAATGGAATGTATTTATTGATTATTTCTCCCTCTAGAATGTCAGCTTCAAGAGAGTTGAGGACACCTTGACTTTGTTGCCTAGAACAGAGCCTGGGACATAGTAAATACAGGCATACCTCACTTTATTGTGCTTTGCTGTATTACACTTCACAGATACTGCAACTTTTACAAATTGAAGGTTTGTGGCAACCCTGCATTGTCACAGGGTGCTTAGCATTTTTTAGCAATGAAATATTTTTAATTGATGTATGTACATTGTTTTTTTAGACATAATGCTTTGCATATTTAATAGACTACAGTCTAGTCCAAACATAACTTCTATATGCACTGGGAAATTTTAAAAAATTGTGTGACTCATTTTATTGAGATATCTGCTTTATTGCAGTGGTCTGGAACTGAACCCACAGTATCTCCAAGGTATGTCTTGCTTAATACCTGTAGGTTGAATGAATGAATAATTGAATGCAGAGCAGTTTAGAGTGATAAGTAGTGATTACAGTAGAGGCCGCCAGTGTCAAATTGGTGGGGGCACAGAAGATGGCTTCTGTTCAAATAGGCAGCTGAGAGGTGAGAACCCAGAGAAAATTGGCTGGCATCACATATCTGTAAATGCTCAGTGGAAGCTTAAACTAATGCCTGTTTTCTAAGCATGCAAAGGTACTGACAACCAGGGAAAACAGACCTTTTCTATAAAAATCATGGTTTGCTTTAAAAAAAAATGCTTTAGGTCTTATCTTTGACAGATTTTATTTATGAGTCAGTGAACAGAAAGACTTATTTGGGGCTCATAATAACATAGCAGGTACTCATGACCACTCCACAAACAGCCCTTTTCATTCACCATGCAAGTTTCTTAGAAACCCAGTTTCAGGCTCTTGTACCAACAGAGCGAATCATGCGTCACATTTTAGAGTGGCTGGTTTATTTTGCGAAATGTACCAATTGTCATATTAAAAATGAAAGCAGTAAGAATAGGATGGACTCGCAAAGTTTACAGGAAATTTTATGGGAAAAACAGCAGAAACCATAAAGAAAACAGCCAAGTAAACGGATACTAACAAAGGGCACCCTTGGGGGAAATTTTCAGGCATTTTTGTTCTGTCTGCTCTAATCCTATCCATCAAACAAGAATATTTCATACTTCCCAGCAAGTTCCAGTACTGCCCCTCAAATCAGAGAGTCATTTAGAACAGAAAATGTACTGAGAAGATCAGACTCAGCACACTGTCTTGATCCCCTAATTCTGGTATTCTGAAATAGGCTCTCCCCAAATCCAAACATAAACCGGATGAATTCACAGGAAACCTTTGCTTAAACCATGACAGGAGAGGATATTATTGAATCTCAGGCTTAAAGGCACCATATCTAAAGAAAATGCACCTAGCCAGACTCCAAAGAGAGAACTGCAGAATGAATTTCCCAATCTCTTCACTTTTTCTCAATCCCTGCCATGTATCCTTCATGGTTTAAAAACACTCTCA